GTCAAGCTTGCCAAAGAGCTGCAATTGTGAAATGCACAACCCCCTATCCAGGTCACTGAGTCCGGGATGGTCAAGTTTGCCAGAGAGCTGCAATCCCAAAAGGCACCATGCCCAATGTCGGTCACCGAGTCCGGGATAGTCAAGAACAACAAAGACCTACAGTTTATAAAGGCACGTTCCCCAATGTGGGTCACTGAGTTGGGGATGGTAAAGTTCTCTAAGGAGTTACAATTCTTGAAGGCATCCGTCTCGATAGCAGCAATTGAATTCGGGATGTTCAAGTGTACCAAAGAGCTGCAATCCTCAAAGGCACTCGCCCCCAGATGCATCACTGAGTCCGGGATTGTCAAGTCTACCAACAGTCTGCAATTCTGGAAGGCCCCATGCCCAATGTGGGTCACTGAGTCTGGGATGGTTAAGCCCATCAAAGAGGTGCAACTTAGAAAGGCATGATCTCCAATGTGGGTAACTGAGTTAGGGATGGACAAGTTCATCAAAGAGCTGCAATCCTCAAAAGCACAACCCCCAAGATGCACCACGGAGTCTGGGATGGTCAATTCTACCAAAGAGCTGCAGTTCTGGAAGGCACGCTCCCCAATGTAGGTCACTGAGTCGGGGATGATCAAGCTTGACAAGAAGCTACAACCCGAAAAGGCGCCATCTCCAACACGAGTCACGGAGTCTGGGATGGTCAATTTGGCCAATTCTTTGCAATCTTCAAAAGCTCGCTCTGCAATTTGCGTTTCATCGTGTGGAATGTCAACCATGAACAAAAGCCCCAAGTTACTTTCACTGCGAAAGCTGGCGATCGCACTCTTCTCCGAGCATCTCGCAATGTTGGGTTTGAAGACAACACTCAAGATGGTATCTGAAGATTCTGAAGCAAGCCCTTCAGCCACCTTCTCATCATTGCCTAGAAGTCGGTCTCCAACAACAACCTCCACGACGGTAGTGCTGCGAGTAACCTCGTCCCATGTCCTACCTGCCATCTCTTTGATCTGCTGCTTGAGCTGCCAACCTCTCATCTCTGGCGTCACTTCGAGACCCATCGTTTCGCCGTTGACCAGCAGCACTGAAACTTCCATCGCACGAAGGAAGAAGCTGATCCAGAGAAATGACAACTCGTTCGCACGACATTCATGTTTCTAGCACTTCGGGTGCCCAATGAGGCCTATAAGTAGTGTAGGGTTGTCATTGGCGGCCCGTTGGAAGCAGCTGGTGGATTCCCGAACTCTTTGGTTGTTTGTCTGGTTGGACCCATGTGAAAACCTTCCTTTTTGGGAAACTGGTCCGGGCCACGGGTAGAGGTGGAAGCTATCGCAGCTATTGACCTCTCTGACCTCTGTTGCCCTGATCGTGGTCCCTTTGCGTCCCTAGCTGCTGTGCTTGAGTGAGAGTAGATCCATGGGACAGGGTGAATCTGGTGTTCATGGTTTCGAACATCGGCTTGAACTGTATAGAGCGACATGAAGGAAAAGGCTTGTCCTGTGAATCATGGGCAATCCCCCACCAGCTTCAGATTGACCAAGCAAGGGTTGAAGCTTCATGTCAGATTCGGCAACCACCAGAGAAAAAGTGTGCAAGGTCTATGCGGCGTTCTTCATCCAAAACCGCTTGAGGAATCCGCCGCTAAAGCACGCCCTGATCCACCTGATCCAACGCCAGGTCAAGATCTGTCCATGAATCCGGTAGAGCCAACGGATTAGACCCACTACGGGATTTTGAGACACCAGGTGGAAAAACAATCAGAGGTGGAGAGCGACCGAGCGACCTGGACCCTAGCAGACCTGGATAGGTCTAGGGTCTCTAGGTTCTTCAACCTGAACGTTCGGATCCGGAAATACCTGGGGTACCTACCAGGACCCTCCAAGGGGTGCCCAATGGAAGCCTATAGGTAGTGTGGGGTAGTCTCTTGGACACCCCTTGGAGGGTCCAGGTATAGGATACAGTCTAGTTCGGGTTCTGACCCACCTCTGCTGGAACGCCAGTCTGGAAGGTCTGGAAAAACACCGAACAGTCCAGGGAATCGGTAGAGATGTTCTCTGGATTCGAGAATCGGAACCGCCCAGGGCTGAGGAGTTTGATACAGATGTCGACTTGATCTTTCATGAAGATCTCCTGGAGATCTTAGGATGAAACAGCAAAAGTCTTGGGATGAACATGAATGTTTTGTCATCCAGCCCTCGAACCAAATCCTTCATGATGCTTTGATGCCCCCAATCTTGAGCAGGTCAGGTCAGCGCGCCCCCAATCCCGCACCCCTCCGACCCCTTCCCGATCCAATCCGGGCAACAGCGGTGACCGGTCCAGCCAGGTGCTGGGTATGTGTAAACATGTGTAGGTGTAGTGTAGGTCATGTAGGGTGTAGGTCATGTGGTATCATACCTGCCCTCAACAGACTCCCAAGGTCCGCCAGCGGTCCATCGATGCCTGGTGTTGTTCACAAGAGTCCAACCAACACGTGCCAAAGAAAAAGAATGCGTCAACTCGCCTGTCTAGCTGTCCACCGCCCATTCGGGTCCATTTGGAAGAGCCCCATGAGGAACTGCAGGAGGCAGCCTCGATTCTCCTGGACACGGACGGGGCGGCCCGCGGAGACGCGCCGCGAGGGCTTATACCAGCACCCGATGATCAACAGGTCTCCGAAATGGTGGCTGAAATGGCAGACTCGTTGAAGTGGCAGGTGGCAGGTGACATGGCCGGTTGCTTCATCTATCAAAGCAGCCCAAAAATGAAATGGCCGGTGGTGCTGGAGAAAGCCATCAGAAAGACTGTGAGTGAAACCCTACAGGTGACTGACCTCATTAAATACTGGAGTTGGTCAACTCAAGGAGGTAAAAGACCGGGTTTGGACCTGGGTCAAACTGGACTTGTAGGGAAAGATCGTGAAAGGGATCTCGAATCTGGATTGATCGTCAAGGTGGGAAGTTTCAGCCACTCTTCAGTGGTGCCTCATTGCGAGTTCAAGAAGCTGGCGGCTTGATGGCTCACTGGAAACCGGCATGTTCTAAAGACACCCAAAACAAGCCATGGGGTGTCAACATCCACTTCTTCTACCTGGACCATCCGAAATCGGGATGTTCTGCCTGAAGCTGTAATTATATATTCCAGTCCCATGTCTCGGGCATCTCGACTGGGCATCTGGTAGGGCACGGTCGTCCTCTTTGCCAGAAGAAGGGTGGTCATGAAAACAAAGGATGCTCTGAACCCAGTGCCAGCCTCCGCGAAAGTCCGACCAAACGAACATTCCCTAGAGGTCTTACGGACCTCATTTGACTGGGTCCGGTCATGCAAAGCCAGGACGAAACATGAGGTAAAGGACCAGGTTTTGCTTGGTCCTTAGACTTGTAAGGATTCATTATATAAGTGGATCAACAGTGCAGAGTGATACAGTGATTCCTCTTATAGGCTATACCAGGAACAAACGAGAACCTGAGAGGGTTTTGGTCGACTATACAAGCAATGACAGGCATAGCCTATGGAAGCAGAACGTCAGGGCTTTCACCTACGAGGTGCGTGGTCCAGGGCGATCGATACGGGGTGTGCTGCAACAGGAGGCTCCACGGATCATGAATCGATCGGATGAAGCCTGAGGTTCAATTCAATAGCATCCATTGCTTGACGAAAGAATCTCTTTGCCAAAACCATGTCAACCTTAAAGAGATCTTCGTATCGTTTTAAGTGTTTAAGACTTGGAAAACCAACTTGGAGTTCCCAGAACCCAGTGATTCATCACTGGAAGGTTTTCTGCAGCTGCACAAGTCACTGGCCGACGGCCCATACAGGCGCCTCCGGCACGTCTTTGACCACCTCCTCGATGGACCTCGTGGCGAAGCGGGTCAGGTAGCGATATCCGCCTGGAAGTTCAAGACCATTCAAAAAGGGTCTTACTTGGTGACCTGAAAAGGAATGGACCCTTTTATATACAGTAATTGCGGCCTGCGCCAAATATATGAGGTTCGGACTTCAAGGGAATGCAGTACAAATATCGCAATGATATCCATGTCCAGCACCTTCCTTTCGGGGTCTCCAATACAGTTGCAGTCCCCCTTCACTACATACACCAGGTACGCCCAGACACTGCTGGGTGCTTTTGGCGGGTCAACGTGTGCTTCGTCCCATTCCGATGACTCAGAGTCTGCCACGGCACTGGCCACAGCACCGGCGTGACCGATCGTATCCCGAGAAATAATAAGGGGTTTTATACCCATGGCAATTCTGCTAGGGGGGTCTTACTGTCGTTTTATAGGGTTTTGGTGGTCCCAAAACGATGGATCCTCCAGTCGATCGGCTACATCCCGGGGTGTCCGGTCGTCCGGTCAGCGCCCGACCCGCTCCGACCCGCTATGCGCGGCGAAAGGCGCCGGTTGGATCCGGAAGGATCCACACCGGGCCCGAGGTTGCGGGAAACCCCCGATGCTTCGGGTCCTGCAATTACGGCCCCCGATTTTTGTGAGATGCGAGCCCTGCCACGGTGGCCCATACGGATTCTTAAGGCCAAAAGAAGACTTATTAAAATATGGGGAACAATGGGGAACATGACAATCACCCTACTAAGCAAACCCCAGGAATGGAGTGGGTTTTGTGGAATTTCGTTCCCCCCGAACCGAAGCTCCTTTTCTCCAGCGCCAGCGCGGGCACAGAGCTCATAGGTCAAATCCTGAAATTGGTGGCTGCTTTTTGGTGGAACAAGCTCTCCCCGGCCCTAGGCTTCCGGTCACCCATGCTTGGTTATTGATAGCCTGAATCCTGAACAACCATGGTTTTACTTTAAAGCCAGATCGACCTTTCTTTGAATGGTATTGGAAGACTAGGGTCGTGTGACATGCAATTTGTTCAGGAAAACAGTGCCTCAGTTTGCATGAGAAGAGTGATGTGGTCCAATGGACCAATGAAAAAAGGGCTGTGCTCCAATCAGCATGACCCCTAGAAGTCGTCCGAGACCAGCTTTAAAATTGTCTTTTAATGACCCAGAAAGGAGCTTCCTTGACTTCAGCAGTGCCAACATATGCAAAAAATAGTCTTTGGATGTCTACGGCGATTGCCAAAGCGTGATCAATTTGTGCAGCCTTCAAATCCAGGACTTTGCGATTCAGGCACCCTTCGCACTAAAGAACTGCAATTTGCAAAGGCACCTTCCCCAATGTGGGTCACCGAGTCTGGGATGGTCACGTTCACCAAAGAAGTGCACTGCAAAAAGGCTGCATTCCCAATGTGGATCACCGAGTCTGGGATGGTCACGTTCACCAAAGAAGTGCAGTGCGAAAAGGCTGCATTCCCAATGTGGATCACTGAATCAGGGACACTCAAGCTTTGCAAAGAGGTGCACTTCTCAAAAGCACCAGTCCCAATATGAGTCACTGAATTCGGGATGCTCAAGCTCACCAAAGAGCTGCAACCCCAAAAGGCACCATTCCC